AGCCTACGAAACCTAGTAAACCCCAACCTGTCTTTCCAAGCTGCCCTGATATCTTAGAGAGATCTGATCCACTCACCACTCCTATAGTAACAACCTGCATTTACCAATGCTCTTTAACTCTCCATCACTGTACGAGGGCCAAAGACTCCATAAACAAAGAATAACCCGTTTTTTTAGTGCTAAAAATAAATATAATTAATACCTTTCGGAGTTCCTTGATGAACTCTAACATACTTGGGGTGGCTGCCTGGAATTTGAATGGAAGAAAAGTCAATTTCAATGGGTGAACTAATTTCATATTTATTATTATTTTACGCTGACAATTTCTTTTTTTAGGAAATTAATACCTTCCTTGGAGCAGTGAGAGTGTCATCAAGATCAAATAGAGCAATTAAACCAGGTTTTCTCACGGCCATTAAAGTCTCTGCAAATTATCCTGTCATCCAATTCACAAAGAGAAGAAAGTTCACAACTTGAAAAATCAAATAAAAAGGTACGCTTGGAAGCATGTAATGCAAGTAGAGACTCGAATTAAAGAATGGAGGCTGCAACCAAACACAGAACGAGAGAGAGAGGGAGAGAGGGAGTAGAGTACCTCCAGCGAAACGAAGTAAAAAGAGAGAGGAGTCAAAAGTGCGAGGGGTGGAATTTATAGCAGATGCATAGTGGTGCCAAAAATGAGTTTTGACTGATTTTAATTGCATGATGACAAAGGTTCTGAAAAATAGCTTTCATATAAGAAATAAATTTGATAAATTAAGAACCTTGGTTAAATAATATTTTTATTTCTTCTTGACTTAAATTTAAAATTTGAATAATATATCAATTAATGAATAAATATAATTACTGATTTTCTAGACTTTATTGCTGAGCAACCCGTGATGTAAGCTTCTGTTTAATATTATAGTTTAGCAGTATTTTTTATTTTTTTATTTTTAAATTAATGTTTTTATATAATTTTAATATGTTATAAAAATAAATTCTTTCATGTTCAGTAAACCAGCCCGGTGATGGCCTGACGAATTAGGTGTATGGACTGTATGATGTTCTGTTCACAAAATAAAAATTTGACTTTTACTACTTATCTTACACAATTCCATGTTCATCCATGGTGAGAGAGGACTCCTCAGCTAAACAATCAGCCAGCAGCAGAAGAACATAAATTTAAAAAACAAACTTAGTCTCCATTGATATTTAAACTAACCTAAGAATACTACCGTTAGGATAAAAAAGGAGTTGACATTAACAAGTGAACTTTTAAAATTACATGGCAATGAAATATGGCCAGACTCAGCTGCTTCCAAAACCCGAGTCACAAATCAAATAGATTAACTCGGTCACCTCCTAAATATTTGTTTTTAAAACCCAACTTAGGTCAAGATTATCGGGTTGACCTGTTGAGCTAACAGGGTTTAATAACTGTGCTCCGACCCCGTCCCCCTCCCCATCTGCAGACATTCTTGAAGCTTGCCAGAGCGCATTAGAGTACAAATGCTTCTGATGATCTCTGCGTTGTTTACTTACACAGATTTCCAGCAGACGTCATGCTTTTGACTTCTGCTATAGCTTTAGCAAATTATATCGATATGAACAAGAAAAACCATTAATTTCCTTCCAGTTTTTTGAAGAATCTTTGTCCTTTGACCTAGTAATTGTACGAAGTCATTATTAATGTTTCGGCAATCAGTGGTAGCATGATCTTTACAAAGTTTATTGAGTCTTCCATGGCCAGCCTTGTTCTATACTGATTGAATTACATCAAATTTGAACATGAAATTTAAGGAGGATACTTTTCTGAATGATAAAACAACAAATACAAAATAAACCTACTTAAGTATACAAGGGAAGAAAGAAAGAAAACTGTATGATTGCCTGAAGTTTTTTTTTTTGGGTGCAGAAGCC